AAATGCTGTCCATGTCTTCGCCTTTGGTCGAACTCTGCGCTAAAGTCGGGCTCGTTGATCTTCAAAGTAGCACAGATGGGCGGATCAGAAAACTTGACTTCGCCTGCCTCTGTAATGCGTCGCCGCCCCAGCTCCTTAATAATGTCCATCCCAAGGAGCAGATCGAAACCTAATAACGCGCTGTCCACGACCAACACACTGACTGTGACAGGGTCACCGTTATTAATACTGAGTTTGATGTTTCCAACTCCCGGCTTCTGAGAGCCTTTCCATCAGCCGTCGTCCATCTTTTGTCTGCTCCACTGTCGGCCGTCGAACCGTTGGTGAATGACCGAGAGCAGCCCGAATCTATTAACGCGGGCGCGTTATTCCATTGATCGTACCTTAATCACAGGGAGCGCCCGCTTTCATGCTCAGTGCGGGGAAGAGACCGGCGCTGACGTCGCGTCCCCATTCCATTTCCGGGCACTTAGAGGCAATATGACCTACTTTCTGACATTGAAAGCATCGTAGATCGAGACGTGCCTTCGCGCCCGACCATCTGCGCATTTCTTGGCGTTGATAGCGGCAGTCTCTGGCAAAATGATTCGCCCAGAGCACCGATAGCAGGTGGCAATGCCATGGTGACGAATGGCTGGGGTCGGACCTTCTTTGACTTCAATTGGTTGAATAACTGCGCCACTGGTTCATCAGCCTCTTTTTCGTCGATCATGACAGCACGGGCTCTGGTCAACAATTGATTGAGCGTCAGGTCTTCCATTCTGGATGATGCGCGGAGTATCTGCTTAACATGACTGGGCAATCCAGAAACGAAGGCACATGTCATCCATTCTTCAGGAAGCGGTGCGATTGGAACGGCGAGCTTCTTTAATTCTGCCAAATATATGTCTACTGTCTCACCAGGTCGCAGACGCCGCGCCTGGAATTGGTCGTAGGCCACGAACCGGTCAGTTCCAAACGCAGTTAGTAGAGCGTGCTTTATTTGCTCAATGTCACTTTTCTGTTCTTTACTCAGCTGCCTATACACAGCAAGGGCACCGCCATTCAATCGCAGAGGAAGAATCCAATCAATCTTTGTGATCTCGCATAATTCGCAGACCAGTTCCACCTTTTCGATCCATTCAACCACAGACTGTCCACTAGTATCACCACTGAATTCGGGGATCAGTTTTATACTGAACGGTCTTTCCGCCATCTTGCGAGAGACAAAGTAAACGCAGAAATAGCTTGAAGTGTAAGCGTTCTCAAAGCAAATTTGTGGCTTTCACAACACAATGAAAGAAAATCACTTGTAACACGTCAGGAAAATAACTCACGAACGCCGTAGCCAAAACTGCCTGAATTTTTTCCTTCCCCGAGTCGACAACACCAACTGCTTTTATCGGCAGAACCTATTTTTTCCATTCATCGACAGCCGGGATAGGATGCTCCGTAATTTGCATATTAATATCCTCTTATAGCGACTCCTGCGACGGACTTGTTTCTTTTTCGTCCCAGAATACACGCGACGAGCTGTTGCTTGGGTTGACGAGGTAAGTCGCTGTAAGAGTTTTGCTGACTACTTTTTGGCAATCCCTCCCCGGCAGATCGCACACAAAACACAAACTTTTTTCCGGGGTACTTGATTATCTCGTTCACTACAATACTCACAAGACAGATTGAAGGAAATAGGAACTGAGGAAAACAACACATAATATACTTAGTGAGCTTGATGGTGGAACAGAGCTTACAATAAATGACAAAAAGTCTTAATTTATTAAGAGCTACAAAGAACAGGAAACTGGAGAGCCATGATTGCCCATGTCTTGAGGGAACACAGCACATAAAAAGAAAAAAATCACCTGTCCATGTTAACATTGGTGTAGTTACTTTCACAATAATGCTCATATATAATAAATATATTTTAAAATAACATTTATCTGAAATATTTTTATATATTAACTCCATATTAAATTGAATATGTGCATAATACTTTTTGGTGAGTTATTGTCTAAACAGGAAGTGTGTAGTGGAGTAACAGCTGTGAACCAACTTTGGATTGAAGTTGAAGATGATTGTGTTTATTTTGCATAGATGCATCTGGCAAAGGCATAACTTTACATCACCTGAGACTCTTGTTGCTAGATAACTTGATAGAGGTTTCAACACTAGTATGCTAAATTAATATATAGCAAAGAAATGGCCATGTAATAACCTCCCCAGTAATCTCTTAGGTTAAGGAACCCAACCAATTGATCAAATAAAATTATTTCATTAGGTTTTTAGAATACCATCAAAATAAATTCACTGAAAACATTTTTATTTTAAATGTAAAGAAGATGTAATTGTTGTCAAGATGCTAAAATTTACAATGGGAAAACAGTTTTTATATGTCTTTATCATTGTGCAATTACAGACATGCATAGCCCAAGTATGTTTGCAATGTACTCATTAATATCCCTTGAATAATTACTGATTAAAAACTGATCTGTTCAGAATATATGGAAATAGTTATTAATAAATTAAAGGAATAACTGAGAATGCATAAAATCATCAGGAATTGTAGTAATTCTACATATGGAGAATATTTATTTATTTTTATTTTCAAGCTCCTCATATAATAGAAATTAGGAACTTTTCCTCAAATGAGAGAATGAAAACAATATTGGGCAAGAAAAATGTATATTATTCTCAATTTGAAGTATCTGGAACCTTGAGTTATGATTTCACAAATGAAATGGGGAGAGTTTCTTTTTACGATGAACCTTAAGTCTGCACCAATGAATTTGCATTACTTGATCAAAAAGTTTTTATAGATTGTGTTAGTTTTATCTAATTAGATTAAAACAATTTTTTTTTTTATTCTGAGTACCAATTTTTTGCTCTTTCACTCTATTCCTCTTATTCCCATGGTCCCTTTTTCTTGTTCTTAATCTGTAGCCTTGTTTCTTGTTCTTCAAAGGTCTATGTTCTTATTCAGTGATCCTGTCTTTTGCTCTTGTCTCTTACTTTCTCCTCATATTTTGCTCTTAGTCCATCACATTATTTCTTCTTCAGTTGTTTCTTTTAATTGCTTCGATGTATAAAAGATGTTGTCTATTAACCACAGGAAATCCTTAAATTTAAACATCCTATACTTTTACCTCATGCCACATAATGCACTCTTATATGCACTCTGCATAACCTTTTATATCCTCCATTTGTGATATGGAGACTATTACTAATTTTATATTATTTTCATATGTTAAAAATCAATGCAAATCATGACTATAATAAAAACACTGTTAATTCAAAAGCACTTATGTTTATATATACACGAGCAGCTATACCCAGCTGGTTGATCAGAAAAAGCATTCAATTAGAATGGAGTGAAAACATCATGTTTAGATGTAACAGCCTATCTTCTTCAATTACTTTGAAGTACTTTTATTAAAAATTTTTTTTGAATTAATGCAGTTACTGATATAACAGAAGCAATCTGTATTTATTCAATTGAAGTTAGCTGAGTATATGAAAGGGTAAAACATGCAACATGAAGACCCACTTCAGACCACAATTATTTTGGAGATTTTGAAATTCAATTTGTCAGTGTGCTACCAGGGATGTAAAAGAGGATACATTTATAAAGCAATTGCTAAGTTTGATGAAAATTGATCAACGAAAAACATGAAAGAAACCAGAAAAATTGTCATTTTTCACTATTCACATGGGTTTTCACTATATGGGTTAATTCAATTATCAAGTTAAATGACTGTTAAACAATCAATTCATTTTTGGTTACAACTGAGTAAAGTTTATATTAGATTGTTTCAAAATTGAGTGAGTTTTTAGTTTAAAATTTGTCTTGAAATCTAAATGTAGTTGCATAAAAATAAAAATGATGTAAGTAACATACATAATGAGTTTGAAAGAGATCAGAGGAAAAAAGTTGAATTTATCGATTTTCGATCAACTTTATCAATTATTGATTTTTTTTTTTTAAATTATCGATTTTTTTTTTTTTTTTTTAAATTTTTTTTTATGCTAAGACCCTTGTACAATGTATGTGCCAAGTTTGGTCAAAATCTGTTGGATGGATCTCTAGTGAAAAGGTATCACACAGACATCCTCTGTTTTATATATATAGATTGCACATGAGCCCCTACTCGGTCAAAATTAAATTTATGGAAAAAATATTTATACTAACATTTTGTCAATTTAATGTGGTGCAATTTATAATATAACTTCTATTCTCCTTTGTGATAGTGTTTTTAAGTATCACTAATAACTAAAAAGTAGTACATCCTTATATGAAATAACCTTGACTCAGCAGTTGTTTTGTACTTACCTCATTTTTTAACTGATAACTGACATTAAAACATGGCACGTGGAACTAGAACTAGAACAGTCTACTCCAGTGAGCGAAATAAAGGGTTCAGTTCAACATTCCAACCACCTGAAGAAAGGCGGAGCATACAACGGCCGAAACGTTGTAATAAATATGGCGACAAAGATGAGGACAATAGTCTGAATAATGTAAATAATGTACATAATGCCTCATCTCGGAAATATAGACAGATATTGATTTGTAGTTGAGAAGGTTTTTTTTTTTATCAATAAATGCTCAAAAAGCACAAAATATTGATTGCACATTTAGTTCAGTGTTTAATATCTTGTTCCAAAATTGATGACAAAAATTTATTTCTTTAATATATTGGTTTTCTTCAATTTTTTTCCTGAAGATAATTTGAACATGAAATAATTTTTTTTTTCTATGTTCATCCTTAACTATCACAAATCATGCCTATCCTGCTTTTTTGAAATGGCAGAATAACAATTTACAAGTTTTTAGATTATAATTTATGTATAATAATAATAAAGTGATCTGTATTTGGATTAGAAATTGATTGTTCTAACCATTTTTTCTCTCTATACACTATGCATATTTCTGATTGAATACTGTTGAGATGCATGTAGTCAACAAATACTTTGTGTATGTTGTTTTGATGTTCTATGCTCATTTCTTTTCTGTTACGTTTTAGGTTTCTCTGTTCACAATATGCCTCCACCACCACCGCCACCGCCTCCTCCACCATCAGGTCCTCCTCCCTCAAGATCTGGAATTGGGGCCAAATCTAGCAATAATGCAATACCTACAGACCGTAATGCCCTTTTGGGAGAAATCCAAAAAGGCATGAGGTTGAAAAAAACGGTGACAAATGATCGAAGTGCCCCTGCCTTAGGTAAGTTGAGTGCTATATTTTGTCTTTTCCTTTTGGGAAACACTACTAATCTTGTTTTTTATTTTGTAGAGATGCAATTCGTTCATTTAAACAAGACATTTATTCAAACACTCTGTGATCATGAATTTTTTTTTATGAAGCAAACTTACATACAATGAAATCTTAGGTCTTTTTTTTTTTTTCTCACTGATTCTGCAGTTTTACCATTACAGATTTTGATAAGGCTAAAAAGAAAAAAAAAATTTTTCCCACTATAACATATACCTTCATAAGTATGTGTTATATAGGAATAAAGTGTCGCAGCCGACACTGGAGTTTGAACACAGTTCATTAGAGAACAAACACAGGTGATCCCATTTTGAATAAGTAGATCACATGATGGTAAAGGAAATGTATATATGTGAATTAGCATGGTGTCTAAGTGATCACTATATGGATTACTATTCGGTGGTTTTTTTCAAGTGAGTATTATCGAGCAAGTACTACTAGTGCAAGTGTTATTAGAAGGTATCTGACACCAGTATTGTTCAACAGTGTTACTATAGTTATATCCGCAGTTACAAAGTTTCTACTACAACAAGCACTACAAAAGACATCACAAAAGTGGCGACGAGGATTCATTGAGCTTACACAATTCCTTTAACTTACATGAGGATTTGTTCAATTTACACAAGGAAAAAATTAATCTGCAAAATATTCAGCAGAGTACAGTGGAATAGAAGAATCAAAAGCTGTCATGGTTCAAATGTTGCAGCAACAAAAACAACATGAACAGAAATTACAATTACAACTACAGAAGTTTTTTGAGTTGTTTACCAAAACGATGGAAGGAAAAACTTCAGATTCATTCACTCCAAATGCTGTTGCTAATTCAATCTATGAATTTATGTATAATCCAGATGAAGTGAGTTTATTATAGAAGATATGAAGGGATCTTCAAAAGGGATTGTTTGCATTGGAATGATGAAAAGAAAGTTTGGTCATTAAATTGTTCCCTGCTGAACATGAAAAATATGTAAATTATATTTTGCCAAAAAAAACAAAAAAAAACAGGAGAGATAAGTTTTTATGAGATTGTTCTAATACTATCAAGAACTTTTGGTGATAGGAGTTCATTATTTAATATATGATGGCAATGTCTTAGTAAAATCCAACGATGAAGATTTTGTCATTGATGCAGAAGTCCTGAATCAAGAATGTGAAAAGTTCAAGTTAAATGAATAAACTGATTTATTTAAATACCTGATATTTGTACAGGGTTTAACTTCTAATAAGGACATGGAGATAAGATCCAGGATACTTGCTAAATTAGAAATGGATCCCAAATTAACTCACCAGAAAAAAGCAGAAGAGTGTCAATGTATTGTGAATTTGAAAATCAATACCCCAAGGAATGAGGCAAAAGGTAATTCATAAGTACATAGTGTCTGACCATTGAAGAGAAAAACTACAAACGTTTTTCAATTCCTAACAGAATAGTAAAAAAAGACCATAAACTCCCCTCAATACCTAATACTTACCACAGTTGTGGAGGTAAGCATTTTAAAAGTGATTGTTTCTTCAAGAACAAAAAAATGCTATGAATGTGGGAAATTAGGATAGAAAATTATGTGTTGCAGATACAAAAAAATGGAGAAAAAAAATAAAATGTATGTAAACATGATAAATACATGAAGTAACGATAAGAATCCTAAAATGGAAATTAACAAGACATCTCGAAAGAGGAAATTTGTTTTTGTGCAAATTAATGATGTAAAAATAAAATTGCAATTAGATACAGGAACTGATATCACTATTATAAATGAACAGACATGGAGAAAAATGGGTAAACCCAGTTTATTGACTTCTGATAAAGTTGCACATGGAAATTCAGGAAAGAGATTGAACTTTTTGGGTGAATTCAGCTGTAATGTTTCTTTTGTGGGGGGAAAAATCAAAAAGCAGAATTGGATAGATAAATGTGAAAGAGTGCTTTTGAAGATATTAAGATAGTCTTAACATCAGATTTGTCACTAGCTCATTTTAACCCTAAATTAAAATTGTGGTTGCATCAGATGCAAGTGATTTGAGTATTGGACAGTGATACTACACAAGTATGAAGAACACAACAACTAAACCAATAGCTCATTCTTCAAAATCATTGATTGCAGCTGAAAAAAGCTACAGCCAGATTGAAAAGGAAGCATTGGCCATCATATTTACTATGAAAAAGTTTCACAATTTCATACATGATAAAGAAGTCATACTACAGACAGACCATCATCCAAAAAAGGGTGTTCCCACATATTCAGCAAATAGACTGCAGCACTGGGGAATTATCCTACTGAACTATAATTATAAAATGGAGTTTCTACCATCCAAAAAATTAAGTCATGCAGACAGATTGTCTAGACTATTACCAAGATTCTGTAAACCATTTGAAGACAGTAATTGTGGCGATAATGGCCGAAAATGAAAGTAATAATGTATTATACAATACTGTAAGAGAACTGCACTTAACATTGTAAGAAATAAGAATTAAGTCAGAAAGAAACGACTTTATAATGAAGATGAAGAAGCCATTAAGATTTAAAGGAAAAAATATTACTGAAAATAATGCATTTTTATTGTGTAATAATGTACTTATGTATGCAGAAAGAATTGTGATACCGACATCATTGCAAAAAGTAGGCTAAAAAAATTTCACATAGGACATCCAGGAATTTTTAGAATGAAATCCTTAATAAGGTGTTATACTTATTGACCAAAAATGGATCAAGATATCGAAAATTTAATGAAATCATGATTGTGCTCTTGCAACAAAGTCACCACCTATCAAAATTCAACCTTGGCTGAAAACTGATATTCCATGGTCCAGAATACATATAGACTTTGCAGGACTGTTAAACAGAGCATACTGTCTAGTGGTAGTCAATAGTTACACTAAATGGCCAGAAATATTAAAATGTAGAAGATCGACTACCATGGTAATGATAAATTTCACATTTCGGTAAACACTGGTAATTACACCGCTCACTCTAGCGGTGGGTTTGAAGCTAGCGTCCAGCTCCCAGACAAAAATAAACGGAGTCGTCACTTATTACGGACCTCTATAGCAGTGCATGTCACCACGGTCCCAGTCACACTACCAGCCAATGTCCCAAACTGTTTTTATTGACCAAAAACAGAGCCAACACACCAATCATCGCTGTTGGCCTCGTTCTCAATTGGAGTCCCCAGCTCAACCAATCAGCATGTAGACCACCACTAGACAAATCGTGCCAAGCAGCATAAAATCAACAAATGTCGGAGTATGTACTTTTCTCGGACCACACTTGTGAGAGGAAAGGATGCAGTTGATGAAATGACAAACCGTCTAGCTTGGGCTTATGCACATATCCATCACAAAACAGCAGCCTGACAAGCAAAACATCTTGGACGCTTTGACTCTGGCAAGTGCGAATGTCTATCGGCACAATTTCCTACACAGGATTTTTGCAAGGTTTGGTGTTCTTGATGCTATCATTTCAGATAACGGGACTCAATTCACGTCTAGTGAATTTAAATTTTTTTTGTAAATCATTAGCAGCAGAAGATATTACAACTTCCCCAAGATCAAACGGCTAAATGGAACGGTATGTCAATACATTTAAAAGGGCAATGAAACAGTTGTAGGGAGAGGAGTCAAATGAAGTAATGATTCAGCTATTTTTTAGTGTTTTTAGAGCATAACACCAAACCTGAACATTGTGTCTGGAATGTCGCCTGCAGAGTTGATGTTTGCCAGGAAGATTAAGTCTGTTTTCAATATGTTCAATATGTTATTACCAGAACACAAGGCAAGAACATCAAGAAATAACAATACAAGTAGATACTTCAAACCTGGATGTATTTTTAAGATGTATCGGTGCAGAAAGGAATTCTGGGAAAATGGCATTATAAAAAAATGGATTGGCAAAATGACATACATGGTACAGGGACAAAGATGGGAACATCAGTGACACCTTAATCAGTTAAAATGTAGATTCACTGATTTAAAAAGTTCCCAAAAAGAGGTACCAATGGAAATTCCGTATATGTTTAACATACCCATGTCATCAGAAATCGTTGAACCAAGGGTTTATGGCAAAAGAAAAAGAATGCCAACAGAATTTCTAACTATTGAACCGAAGCTGAAGAAGTATAGACTCTACGGGAAGTCATCTCAAAGGGGGATATGAAGTGTTACTGCTGACACTGGATTTTAAACACAGATTACCAGAATGCAAACACAGGCGATCCCATTTTGAATAAGTAGATCATGTGATGGTAAAGGAAATGTATATATGGGAATTAGCGTGGCATCTAAGTGATTACTATTCAGATTACTATTCAGTGGTTACTTTTTGAGCAAGTATTGTTGAGCAAGTACCATTAGTGCAAAGGCGTCTGACACCAGTATTGTTCAACAGCATTACTATAGTTGTATCTGCGATTACAAAGTCTCTACTGCAGAGAGCATTACAATAGTGACAACGAGTATTTGTTGACATCACAAAAATGGCAACAAGCATTTGTTGCAGTATTTACATTAGTCGGACTATTGTCCTCATCTTTGTCGCCATATTTGTCACAGCGTTTTGACGTTGTACCTCCGGCCTTCTTCAGGTGGTTGGAATTTAACTGAACCCTTTATTTGATCACTGTTCTAGTTTCCAGTTCCACGTGCCATGTTTGATGGGTGTCAGTTATCAGTTATCTCCTGCTAATTTTCCCTCTGAAAGTTCTCCTTAACCAGGAATTGAACTCCCCTTCTTTGGGTCTGTCACTGGATCTAACCAACGCCTTTATCCACTGTGCCATGTGTCCTTGAGGACATCTGGGTATGAACTTCTGAGTATTATAAACCTAATGTTTTCAGCATCATTTTTTACCAGTGCTCATATTGCAATTTTTGTTGTTATCATTGCATGTCTTTACCAGAGTTCATATTGCAACTTTGTTATCATTGCTTTTTCTCTAGCACTCCTTATTACTGGTTCCCATATTGTATTTATTTCTATGCTTGGTCGGCTCAGGAGATTTTGTGGCCTAGCATATGTGCTGATTCCTTAAGTTTACGAATTTTCCAATGGTGTTCCCTATCTATGATTTCAACATGATCCCACAGGGGCGGTGATCTCCCTTCTCTCTCCATACGTGGTCAGCCACGCCTGATTTTCTACCTCTCGTTACAGCTTTCTGGTGTTCTTGAAGCCTTACCTTGAGGGGGCGGCCTGTTTCTCCTTTATATTCCTTTCCGCAGCTGCACGGGATAGCGTACACACAGTCTTTAGTCATGTTCCTCTCTGTGGGGGCTCTCACTTGTGAGAGATACCTGTGAAGTGTTGTCACGCTTTTGAAGGTTGTCCTGATGTTATATGGACCGCAGATCCTTTGTATTTTCTCTGATAACCCCTTCACATAAGACAGGCAGACTGTTTTCTGAGTGTTGTTGTCCTCCTCCTCTTGTACCCGCCTATCCCAGTTTTTGGGGGCTGCTGCCATGTACCCAGGGTAGTTGTTACGTTGTAGGGTACTACTTATACTGACCAATTCCTTATCTAACATCTCTGGATCGCCACTTATGACTTTTGCTCGGTGTTGTAAGCATCGGACGATCCCTTTCTTTACGCTGTATGGATGGTGGGAGTCGAAATTGAGGTACTGTCCGGTGAATGTTGGAATGATAACAACAAAAATTGCAATATGAGCACTGGTAAAAATGATGCTGAAAACATTAGGTTTATAATACTCAGAAGTTCATACCCAGATGTCCTCAAGGACACATGGCACAGTGGATAAAGGCGTTGGTTAGATCCAGTGACAGACCCAAAGAAGGTGAGTTCAATTCCTGGTTAAGGCAGTGGAGAACTTTCAGAAAATTAGCAGGAGATAACTGATAACTGACATCCATCAAACATGGCACGTGAAACTAGAACAGTCTACCAGTGATCGAAATAAAGGGTTCAGTTTGAAATTCCTACAGAAGAAGGCCGGAGCGTACAACAGCCGAAACGTTGTGACAAATATGGTGACAAAGATGAGGACAATAGTCCGACTAATGTAAATACTGTACATAATACCTCATCTCAGAAATATAGACAGACTCTGAAGCATTTGTTGATAAAAATATGTTAATCTGTAATTTGTTTTCATATAGTGCAAAGGCTTTAGTGATCTTTGATCTTTCAATCTCCTCATAAAACAAAATAAATAATCCTGCTATAACTATGAATTTGGGTGTACTATACCACGCAATGGTGTATAATAGCATCAGAATTGTTTCCTATTATCCAAACCTACATATTTGTGATTATCGTTCAATGAGAGATAATTTAACTGAAGATTCACAGTTTAGTAGTGATAGGTTATGTTAGGTAACCTGAAGGGAACAGAAACCTCTAAGGACTAAAGAATTATCAGTTATATTTGTAACATCAAATGGATATGATTTTAAATAAGCAAACGAAAATTAAGATTTATTTTTTTTATTGTACTTGTTATTGAAGTTGGCTTATCTCCATCCTGATAAAACTGTTACTTGTTGCTTTTTGAGATTGATTTATAAAAGAAAAAGACAGTTTTCACTCACTCCTCAATCAAGATTTATGAAAATTGTATAGTAACTTATTCTGTGATTTTCTACTAAATCAAGTTATCTTGATTATCTTAAATCTTTTAGTTCTTTTGTTTGATCTGAAGTATAGCAATATCTAATATGCAACATTTTATTTTCAATCTTGAAGCATTTTTGAATTGCTGAAAAATTCTTCACAAAAAAAAATAAATGGTTAAATACAAACTATTCTTTTCAGCAAACTTAAATGAATAAATCTTTCATTTTCTTGCACTTTTAAACAACAGTGGATTAAAAGAAATCTTATTCTGTACCAAATGTCAGCATTTTGTGAATTCATTACAAAATTCAAAACTAACAGAGGTAACAAATAATTTTAGATCAGGGCAAAGGGAAAATTTCTTTCAAATAATCATTTCTGTAGTTCTGCTATTCTGACTTCTTAGAATGCTAACACCTCTCATAATGCTGGTAGCAGTTATCCATGCAGAAATTGGAATTGACAAGCAGAGTTCAAATTCCAGTATAGTCTGTTGAATTCACTTCTCACTAATAAATATGGGAAAACATGAATCCATTTCTTCTACTTGCATCTGTGAATTAAATAGCTGGGTTGATGACTGGACTCTTCAGCTTTGGGTGGCATCTAGCCTAAGAGAAGGAAAGCCTGGTTGTTTTGAAACATAAAAAATTTGTAATGCACCTGATCATTTAAGTTTAATATCTTCTTTTCTTGAATCAATATTATTAGTGTATGAAAATAGCCTCTATTTGCCCAGCAATTTTAATCTGCTACAAAATATATACACTACATCTATGTCACTCTTTTTCTTGCATGATAGATTTAATTGTACAATTGATTCTTAAGATCCATTATGATCCATTGAATCATATACAATGATATTTACTCAATACTGAATATTATTTTCTAAGTCTTATAATTTTTATTTGTTTGACAATTCAAAGAAGATAGATATTCTCCCATTACAGATTTTAACACTGTCCTGCATAATGGCTTTATGTAACATTTGCTAAGAACTTAACCCAGCATATTATTAAAGTAGTAAGTGAATGGTTCTTTTCTATATCACAGTAATCTTTATTGTCAACAGCTTATTTTAATTAGTTTTATTAGTTATGAAAGTTAAGTCAGTGTTATTAATCGTGAACGGAAGCTTTCTAGTTTAAGCAATCAAAATAACTTAATTCAAGGCAAAAAAATTTTTCATTAAAATTGTGTGACTCTAAATTATCGCATTAAGAAATATATTGTTTCATATTTGCTTGTTTTATTAACTAAGAACATCTAACAGCTTTCCCTTCTGATATTTTTTGTTTTGTTTAGACAGTTTATAAAATTTATTTTCTTTGTTGAAATAACACTTGATTTTATTTATTTACTAATGTGTTCATTTGTACTATTAACTAATAGTGACAATTTTATATTAAGTATTATAAAATATATTTATTTCTGTGTTTTGCCATCCACCTTTCATTTTTTTGCTTGAACTTTTTGCTGATGCATGTGTCTCTTTTATGAATTTGAAGTTATGTAATTATGAAACACACTGTTCTAAAGTAGATTTCCATAAAAAATAGACAAATGACTTTTGGGACAAATGTTCTCATATGTATGTTAAAATAAAATTAACTTTGATCATAGATTCAAAGCTTGTAAATTCTCACATAGAAATGTTTTTTTAAAAAAATAGTTGTATAGTTTACTTGGAAATTTGGGAAATTGTAATAAAGTTTAAAATGCAGATTAATGTGTAAAGTTATTCATATAACTTCCAGGTAACTTTAAAAAAGTTCTTGAAATTAATTTTGTTATACCAAATATTCAATTAGATTTCAAATGTCTACCAAAATATTTATGCACAATATTACATATATAATTTATTGAAATGATTCATTTACAATAATTCAAAAAGTTTTTTTTTCCTTTTATAAATTTGTGATATTGTTTTCAATCATCTCTGACAGATAACTGTAGTGTGTGTGTTTCTTTCTCTCTCTCTCTCTCTCTCTCTCCAGTACTAACCACTTAGTCCTGTTATGGTAAAGATCAGACAATAATAATGATTCTTCTAATGACCTACGTCAGTGGAATTGCTGCCATCTTGACTTAGAAATAATAATAGCAACTGGAACAGAATGTTTTAATAAAATTGAAAAAACATTAGCTTAAAATGTTTCTTAAATATTGTTCAGATGTCTAAACTTTCCTTTTGGGGACTAGATTTCTCTTGTAAACTATTGATGCAGCAACAAATGGAAGCAGACTAATTGGATTTAGCAACAGTGAAAATGTAAATCAATTTTCTGCAGAAAATTTAGAAAAATGACAATTTTATGTAACTTTTGAACTGACTTTATGGATACACCTTTATTCTCATGAAAAGATTTATTTTAAAAAGTGGAAGGGAAAACCCAAAATCTCTAGAAATTGTACACATTTTGTTAGGTTTTTCTCTGGTGTAATGAAAGCACTAACTTTTGTTTATATGTGACATCATTATTTTCAATAGGAAGCAACAAGAATTCCTCAACCAAAAAATACAATACGATTGGTGTGCATACTCACCGCCAACAACAACCACAACCACCAGGGCCTGCATTATGGAGAAGAGGAAGCCAAGATGGTAGTCTGATACTAGCACATTACTTCACTCTGCATGTTACTCATGGTTTTTCTGACTATTAGTCTTTTTTTACATTAATAAGTGCCTTATTTTATTTTTTATCTCATTTGTTTGCTGCATGCTTTTTGTACTAATTTCATAGTCTGCCTTGGACACAGTTCCTCTAGCCTCTACTTCTTGGAAACATATTGATGTTGCATCTTGTCTTAACACTAACTCTCTCAAATCATCTCATTGTTTTCTTTATTACAACATACTGGTTGAATGTAACCTTCAGGCAACAACAATGTTCATTATCACCTCCATCTACTCAATCCTGGTTTTAGTTTTGGACCAGATTGTAATTGTCTAAGAAATATTAGGATTATTTCCCATCAAAATTATATTTAAAGAGACCTTACTTTGTCTTGAAAACTGATGGCAGGATTTTAAAACTGAGCTAAATTTGAAAGTAGATCAGTCTATAGACTGACATATCATAGCTGAATTTTGATCTGAAATTTTTACCACTGAATGAAGTATATTTACAAAGAAGAAGACTATGTTGAAAAATTTTTGTTGTGTAAAATTTTTTTTTATCACTGAGCTGCAAACTTTTCAATGTACTTGGGTACTTCAAAAGATTACTATCCTAATTCTGCAATCCTTTGAACTTTGTGTGTGTGTGTATTAAGCACAACATAAATTTTTGCTTAGTGTTTCATTGTGAGTGAGATTACACCTTGGCTCTTGATAGAATTAAAGACCAAAAATGATCTAAAGTTGGTGCTGAATGCAAGTGGTTTGTTTTAAATTTGTAAATCTGCAATACCTCTTGACTTACAAAAAACTGTATTTAGAAAGTTAATTATTGGATACACAGCCTTACTAGCTTTATTGAATTATCTTTGTCATGGCTTGGTTACATTAATAATTAAGATTACTAATTTTGAATATCAGATCACTTTTCTACTAAGAGTATCATTGCTAACCTACTCAGATAATCCAAAGATGACATCTGTCGCATTTCTGTTAGCATTATTGTTCTTACTTAATTAAATAACTCTCTTGTCATGTTCAGGTCTATCACTGTAAAGTGATTACACTTATTTTGTTTGGAATCTGAGAGTTTGCATGTTTCATTCTTACTATTCAGATAAGAATTTTTGAAATCCACTAAAATTTCTCACTTTGATGTTAAACTCATCATTTTTTTTTAATTTTAACTATTAAGGCTTTTGCTTTGGCAGTGAGCAACATAAATAGAACTAATTTCATCTATATTAAGACCTGGGCAATGGTTATGCTTTCAATTCAACTTTATCTTTTAAATGTCACTCTTTTTCTTTTTTTCTTTTTTTTTTCAGTATTCTTAAAAAAGAAATTCAGAAACTCTAACAATCATTTTTAAAAATTTCGTTTACATTCATTTTTGTATATTTGTCTAAGCTATATGATAATGAATTTTATTTAACATTTTACATATGAATTGTCTTGGGATTTTATTCAGGTTTTATCTGTAAGAATTATATCCTTTCTTTTTTATTTTAGAAAGTTATAATTTATGATGGACATGGTTTATCTGACTTTTTATTTTTTATTTACTTTTGCAAAGAAATGGAAAGACTGAAATACACTATCTTTATTTGCAATGCATACTTCAATCAGCTTATTTCCTTTTTTTCTCTCTGGTCATAAAGTGTATACTGTGCTGTGTAAATTATAAAATTAGTTTGGGGCAAAATGAATGTTCTTACAATTCAGAACAAGAGATGAAAAATTTAAATGCCAAATTGTTCACTATATAATCACTTTTATGGCTAAATGTAGTAGTGTAACAGGGTGCTGGATCTGATTCGATGTTTAATTGCATGAAGAAGCCAAATAGTGATTTGAAGTGATTAGGAATAAATTCTGAAAACTCCGAGGGATATCTTAAAGAATTAGGAGGAAAATGGGGGAAAAGAAATGGAGAATTAAAATTACTTCAAATATATAAAAATGAAGTAGATAAGGGAATCAAAGAGAGTTGAGCCCGGAACAAAATTTCACCAGAAAGATCTCAGAACAATCCCCATCTCACAAAGATGAGCACACACACATCTTGTGGATGAAATATATACAAATTAATGTTGTTGTTGCAGATTTACTCCTAGACGAGAATGTCTACTACTACAAAATACTCAAATCACCATTCTGTTATCTAGATGTGCAGAAGACACATGCTTGTGTAATATCCTCTTGTCAATAAACTATTGTTAGATTTTCTGAAGTGTTTGTTTGTGTTGAAAAGATCTTTTGTCTAGCTTCGACATTGATGGCTAGTTTTTAGGATCATGCAAGAAACAATTTACTACGCTCCCTGGAGGGAGTTAAGAACACCTCTATGAAAGTTACAATGAACCACTTGGCAATTGCCATCAAAAACCGGATTAATTTCAGAGAGTGTAAGACATACCGGAACAGCTGACAAAGACATATACCTATATTTGGCTTGCCGGACACACAGCATGAGAAAACTTCCGTGTATAATTGCATGGTTCACACTTGACAACCAGTGAGTGTTTGGTTAATATCTGTTTGTTTGATTTTGGTGATAGGAAGTGACCTGGTCACAATTGAATCTGTGAGCAGGCTTCAGATTCACTTACAAAACCGTGTATATTAGTTTAGAAGCTTGCTTTTGGGAATATTTTTCTTTTTTCTATTGTTATTTTTGGTCAGATTTTATAATAAGGAAAATATTTTCCTAATATGTATATTCTGGAATATTTTAATTTTATCTTTGTTAGACTGTTCAAAAAATATTGATCAATATAAATCCATGAAATGCATTGATTTATTTATTGATCTGAGAGTATTATACTCACATAAAAATGAATTCCTGAAGACTTCCTTTTTCAGTGCCCCAAAACTATATGACTATTATTTTCATCATTAGTAAAAGTTTGTCAGTGCTTTTTGGAGATCTTGATTAAACTGACTTTTTATTTACATTATTTACATTATCACTTTTATGGCTTTTATCCACTGGACCTCATAAGTACTGACTCCTTAAGCTAGGCTGTAAAAATCTCCTAAGCCAGCCAAGCATAGAAATGAATATAATATGGGAACCAGTAATATAGAGTACTAGAGAATAACAACAACAAAATTGCAATAGGAGTTCTAGTAAAAAATTGTTACTGTGACATTAGGTCTATAAGTCCCAAAAAATTCATACACTGATGTCCTCAAGTACACATGGTGTCCCAGTGGCTAAAATTGTTGGTTGAATCCAGTGACTTGACCCAAAGAGTTGTGAGTTCAATACCTGGCTACTGCAGTGATGAACAAAAACTTGGAGAGTTGAGTTAAAGGGAGATAACCGAAACATCCAGAAGAAGCATGGCACTTGAAACTAGAACAATCTACCCTGGACAAAATAATGCGTTCAGTTTGAAATTCCAATCACCTGAAGAAGGCCGGGGCATACAACATCTGAAATGTCATTAATATGACAATAAAGATGAGGACAACAGTCCAAACCATGTAAAAAAATTACAATACCTCCTCAGAAATAATAAGTTGAATTTTATTTTGAAATCTGCTTTAACTGGGAATCAAATAATGTTTTGGAAAAATATCCTACTGGCTTTTTTATACTAATGACATGTAATACTACAATTCTTATAAAAGCAAGAAAAGAATTAAATTTTATTATATAACATATAACTAAAGAAACCAAAATTGTTATCAGAATAATCTGATCCTTTGGTCTATTCTCAGCTGCCAATAACTTTTAATATTATTTCTGTGAAAATACATGGCCTTAAACAAATTGTAGCAAAGTGTTTTGCTTTTCTTCATGATGGAAAAAAAATGTTATGTTGTAATCTGAAGTGCTTATCAATAATGATATTAGCAATAACTGCTATTGTTTAGAAAATATTTGGTCAAGTTTTAAATTTTAAAAAAAATAACTGCTTAAAAGTGATTTTTTTTTTCCTCACTTTATCTGATTTACATTACAGATTTTATCTTGCAGAATATTTTCCCATAAACAATCTTATATCATAACCAATTTCTCTTCATTCCCATTCTATTTTTTAATTTTTAATTTTTCTCAATTTTCAAGCTTGAGGGTTGTTCATTATTTTGATAATCAACTCAACAAAAACATTTGTATATATATTTTTTTATTCACACTTGTCTTTATTATTAATTTTTATTAGTCTATTTTATTTATTCTATCATTATGATAACACTTTATATAGCAACATTTTGCTACTGCTTCTAGGGCCACTAATGATAGAACCGGATTAATGATGTCTGTTTTGTCAGCCATTTCTCTGTCTGGTATGAAAATATTGGGATGACTGGAGATAGGACAGTGTCCAAAGAGAATGGCATTCATACCCTCATTTCCCACATGGGATTAGTTCACAAACTACAAGTAGAATTTGAACTCATTTTGTCTTTATTTTGAGTTGCCGCAAATTGTGCCACTCTATTGAAGTAATAGGTTTGTTTTAAACTAAATATTTTATATATTTGTTTGATTTTATTTCCTCTAATAATAAATTCAGTATTGCATATCTACTCTGATAATAAATCCAATTCTACATTTTGTGGCAATCTTTTTTTTTAATCAGTGATAAAATATTTTTTGTGTGTATTTTTAAGTGCTTTGTATTTGTGTCCAATGCACAATCAAGAATAGATTATTTAAATACATCTACTTTAAATATAATCTGTTATGATCCTGTTTAGAATAAAAAAAATTGTTTGCTTCAGTGATTTTAAACTCAGCTGCAAACTCTAATTTTTGTCATGGTTTTTTTGTATCAAATTCTTGACTTGGAAACATAACATCAAAGTTTGTGCAGTGCTTCATTTGAAACTATTTGTTTTTTTAAGATTAAGCATTAATGAACCAAAATGTATGAATATGGTTCTGTTGTAGTGATTTTTCTTCCAACTGCCAGTAAACAGACAAGGGATATGGAAGTATGAAGCTTTTTGGGGTAATTTGCTTTTTAAGCCCTGCGCTAAGTATCTAATAAAAATTTCTGGAATCATTATATTTAGGTGTAAATTTACA